CTTTTGTTCCTGTGTCTCCTCAGCGAATGTATTTGAAAAGCACTTCCCGGCCACCATTGACTCATTCCAGGATGCTGTGAAGTGTCTGTCAGAGTTTGCCTGCAATGCCTCCTTCCCAGACACAAGCATGGAGGCAATCCGTCTCATTCGGCACTGTGCGAAATACGTCTCTGAGCGACCGCAGGTAAGAGCTTGTAGTGGCAGCTCAGGCGGAAAAGGTCTGTTTGTATGCCAAGGACAAAAATAACCTCCGATGCTCTCACTCCTTCCTAATGGACAGATATTTGTAAGTGTGCCTTCTGTGTGTAGTCAATCCCTCTGCCCTTGGCCAGGGCTGTTTCTCCTCTGTCCTCCTCTTTCCGTTTTGTCTTGACCTCTTTCCCTGTTGCAGGCTTTTAAAGACTATACCAGTGACGACATGAATGTAGCCCCTGAAGACAGAGTTTGGGTCCGAGGCTGGTTCCCCATTCTGTTCGAGCTCTCCTGCATCATCAACAGGTGCAAGCTGGATGTTAGAACCAGGTGAGAACAGATCGTTCTGCATTTCTGTTCACCTGGCAGTGCAAAATACTGCTTCACAAATTGTGGTACCCAAACACTTTATAAATGTTGAAATTCAGACCAGCGAGGGCTTGAAAACTGCCTTTTCTTTTCTGACCCTCCTGTGACATTTAGGTATTCAACAGAGTTCATAGATCCTATTTGGTTACCAGCTACCTACAGTGGCCATCAAAAGTATTCACTCCCCTTGGACTTTTTCACATTTTATTGTATTACAATGTGGAAAATGAAAAGCCACTTTTGACAGCCACTGTATTAGCAGGCTTTTGTGTTTTTTTTTAATATTGTTGCATATAATTTAACACATGACTTGAAAGTAACAGACAAGCTTGGACACCTGTTAAACCATTACCTTTAATAATAAACAGTCAAGCCAATGGAAGAAAAGTATTTTTGCCTGTTGGTTGCTGGTTACTAGCTGGTGCATTTGGGTTGCTGTTTTCCAGGGGTCTGACTGTCATGTTTGAGATCATGAAAACCTATGGCCACACCTATGAGAAACACTGGTGGCAAGACCTGTTCAGAATTGTCTTCAGGATCTTCGATAACATGAAGCTTCCAGAACAGCAAACAGAGGTAATTTGTTTAAACTCAGGAATATATCTATTTACCCTTTTAAGTGAAAATGAGTAGTTAATATTGCTTGGTGGAGGAATAGATGTGGTAAACAACACGCTTTTCTAATTTCCCAGGGTGAATTTCATTTCAGAGAAGTACAGATGTTGATTTCTCAAAGCATGTATCTGAAAACAGCCACACTGTGTCCATTCTCTAGACTTCCAAGTCTTTGGGTTTAACTATAAAGTGTGGACACTGTATACATTCATATATATACAAGATGTTTCGGCCACATTTGTCCTTGAAGATTTTTACCTCTGTGTCTTCTGTAATTGCTGACACCTCAGATTCATTCTCTAAGGCTTTTGCTTGAGTCAAACCTTTCAGGGGACAAGCTTATTTTCAGTTATTTTGTTCTCAATACATTTTGTTGTTGTCAATCCTTAGGCTCGTTTGCATATTTGCATAGCATCCTGGGCTTGTCCGCTTCTACTCCAGCTAATTACAAGTCGACGCTAACGGACGAAACAGACTGTTGCTGTTGTTTTGTTGAAAAACTGCTGAAGCTGAAATTGCACCCTTCCAAGTCACAGCTCTGTCCCTTTTCGAACAGAAAGCCGAGTGGATGACAACCACCTGTAACCATGCACTCTACGCCATCTGTGACGTGTTCACTCAGTATTTCGAGGCACTCAATGACGTTCTCCTGGACGACATCCTCTCCCAGTTGTACTGGTGTGTGCAACAAGGTGAGCTCCCTGCAATGGCAGAGAACAGTGTAACTTTCTGCAGACGGCTATACGGTCTGTAACTCCCTGTGTCTCTCTCCCTGTAGACAACGAGCAGCTCGCTAGATCAGGAACGAATTGTCTGGAGAATGTAGTTATTCTAAATGGAGAGAAATTCACTTTGGAAACCTGGGATAAGACGTGCAACTGCATGCTGGACATCTTTAAAACCACAATCCCCCATGCGTAAGATCAGAATTTAATTTGGTTTATAGTTAAATATGTGTGGATTGGTTCTTATGTCATAATGCTGTTTTTTTTTGTAAGAGAAATTAAAAAATAAAATAAAGAACATATTCTGAGAGAGGTTAAGGATGGATCAAATCCCACTGAGTGTTCTCCTCTGCTGGCATTTTTTGAAGGTTGTTGACATGGAGACCTTCTGGAGCTGAGAATGAGCCTCCTGCACAGGTGGACATTTCAGACAAACAGCTGGTAAGCAAAGCAGAGTTTTTTTGCTGACAATTGAAAAGTTGGTCAGCCGGTGTCACTGACCCAGTGCAGCCAAGAATACACAACCACAAATACAAATTGAGCTCTGTTCTGCTTCTTTGATATGGCCATTATGACCGTGGAACGAATACACAGCAGCTCCACATTCATTAGATTATATTAAATAGCTTTCAAATTTGTTTGGCCTTTGGAAAGATATGTCATCTAGGATCTTGACCTGTGATCAGACACTCATCAGCTTGAAATTGAGTGCACCGTACAATAACATCTGTTTTAAGCATTCCATGGAGCACTATAAAGAATTGTTTCAGATTCTGCATCAGAGATATCTCCTAGAAAATTTCATCTTGATCCAATGTCTTTTAGGATATAACAATAAACATGAAAGTAATATTTCAACTCCTCATACTCTCTTCACAGTCAGACTGCTAGTATTTCAGAGTTCTTTACATTAATACAGAACCCCTCTGTTAATCTGATTTATGCCATCAGAATTATATCATAAATGACAGAAAAACTACAGAACTGTAAAAACAACTTGTTCCTTTGTTTTGCCCTCATGTTAAGAGGTAGTGTGCCTGCTGTATGTTTAAGCAAATGTGATTAACACATTCAGAAATGCGGTAGAAAGAGTTCCAGGTTTCGCAGAATGGATTGTAATTGGATTTGCAGCAGTGCTCTGCTAGTTCCTTGTGTGAGTGAGCTTGCATGTCCGCCGCTAGGATTCCATCTCGCAGAAGTCGCTGGACATCCAGGCGCGAGCGGACGACCAGCAGTCCACAGGCAGCATGGAGAAGCTGTCCCTGGAGAACCGGAGGCAGAGTCAGTTCAGCGTGGGCTCGGCCGTGCTCGAGGACGGCCGGCAGGCCAGGACCCCCACAAGTAAGTCCCGGGGGGGGTAGCTGCCCGAGGCGGTACGGACCGCGGCAGACCCCGGGGGGCGCCCTGAAGTAACAATCTGCTTCGCCTGGTTCTCTCGTACGCAGAGGCTCAGGAGCAGAAGCTGTTCGCCGCCCTGCTCATAAAATGTGTCGTCCAGCTGGAGTTGATCCAGACCATAGACAACATTGTGTTCTTTCCCGCCACGAGCAAGAAGGAGGACGCAGAGAACCTTGCGGCTGCTCAGGTAACGGCAAGACAAGCACAGCTCAAGCCACTTACAGGCGCTGTTTATTTCTGCTGTGGTCCAATAGGAAATAGTAGAAATCGGAAGGGGTGCCCTTTGTCATGATAAGGTAATACAATTTGCACTGGCATCAATGCACCTTTCCTGGGACAGAAGGTCCTTTGAAAATTTAAGTGTTGCCTGTAGTCCTCATACACTATCGTCCAGGGCTGTCAGAGCCAGGACCCATTATCCACTCACAGGAATGATCCATTATAACATGGATCATTCCTGTGAGTGGCTGAACAAATGTGGTTCGAAGTACGTGATGAAATAAAACTCTTCTGTCCGAGAAGGTCATGGTTAAGCTTCTCCTGGAAATTTGTGGTTAGGCCAGTTATTTATCTGAGGGCTTCGGTGCATGAAAGCAAGCCTGAGAGTTGAGGTTTTGACTCAGTAGGTCTCATCCCATTAATTTTACCTTGACAGAGGTCAAGGACTTCATCGTTCTCTGAGGTATGAGCGCAGTTTCCTTGTCTTCCAGCGAGACACCCTGGATGCAGATGTACATGTGGACACCCAGGACCAGGGGATGTATCGCTATCTGACCTCGGAGCAGCTCTTCAAGCTGCTGGACTGCCTCCTGGAGTCGCACCGCTTCGCCAAAGCTTTCAACTCCAGTAACGAGCAGAGGACCGCACTCTGGAAAGCAGGTCAGTCAGTGGTGGGGACAGCAGCTTCCAGGAACCATCCTTACCAGGTGTTGGCCTGGGGAGCTCCTTCAGACCTTCCCCATTCGCTCAAGCAGATCTTCTGACCTCTCCAAGTAATAGTTCTCATTCATTGGGGTGCATTATACCCATCAAAGTAGTATAGAAATCCCTGTGGGTTCCACGATGAAGCTGAGTATTTGTTGGACAGTGAAGAGGACAGCCAGAGAAAATGTAAAGGTGTCTTCAGCACCAAGTGTACAGCATTATCTGAAGGCATCCGGCTTTTGGGCACTTCGTGATGTCAAGACGGCACTTTCCGGTGACTGTGTTGCAGGTTTCAAGGGGAAGTCGAAGCCAAACCTCCTGAAGCAGGAGACCAGCAGCCTGGCGTGTGGGCTGCGCATCCTGTTCCGCATGTACACCGACGAGTGCCGCAGGGAGGCCTGGGAGGAGGTGCAGAAACAGCTTCTGAAGTAAGAGCGGAGCAGGGGTTCGCACCCATTCGCTCCTCTCTGTCCTCTGCCATGGCAGGCAGGGCCATTGAGTAGAGCAGAGGGTTGAGGAGTGTATTGCACATGGCGGACTACACCAAACAGTATAGACAGTGCATTACAAACATAACAAATAACAACAACAAAACGATATACTGAGGAGAACAATAAATATGTAGTAGTGGAAAAAAACATGGTAGTGCACAAGTGCAGACGTGCATCGAGTCTGAGGCATTGCAGTTCGCCATGAAGGATGTGGACTGCAGTGGGGTAGAAATTGGATTTGTCTGCTTGGATTTGTCATTCTGCACCGTCCTGTCGTTTTCTCCAGTTATTTCAGTTCAGTTACTTACATATAGCGCAGTCTGGTTTGATTTTCAAAGTTAATTTTTTCTCATTTGATATAAATGAGCTGAAAGGCAGCTTTCCGGTTGATTTTGTAATTGATGCTGTTAGTGCAGCATGATCTGCATTTGCAAGAACATTTTATTTTTACAAACCGGTTTCGTATGTCCAGTTACAGAATTGTCATTAAAGGCTTGCCTGGCAGGTAAGAACTAGCCAATCAAACAGCCTCAAGACCCTGCTCCAGTAGCAGTTTGTATCCAGGTCCTGGTGGACCGAATGGACTACTCTCATCTGTAACCATTCTTATGTTCTTCCGTTCCTGACAGGAGAAGCCAGCTTTGGGCTCAGATCTCCTGGAAAAATGTATAATCTGCTTGTTTCTGTTTCACCTAGGACGCTTGAACTAGATGATTCAATTCAACTAGATGATTCAAATCAGCTGTAAAAGCAGAAAATATTTTTTTTTAACCAAATCAATAACATTCTTTTTCAGCGAGAGCATTACCTATCAGGTTGTGCTCATGTTGAAAAATTGTCCAGATTGTGTTTCGTCCAAGCTTGTGGTCCCGTTCGATTCCGTCTGGGAGTCAGTTGTTGAGGTTTGGTTTTCTTTTTGTGTTACCATGGAGCTATGCCACAGGACCCACATTCCTGAGGCCTCCCCAAGTGGTATTCTCCAGAGGCACTGTATCCTGTTATTGAAAGATTGTTTTGAAAGATTTACCGTCGTTAACCATTTGTGGACTATCTTCCAAATCACCTTTCCAGCCGAGAATTTGGTGAAAAAAACTCTTAGCTTCCTCCTTCCATGTGAGGTCATTTCCCCGTGATGACATGGTACCAAGGGGTTGACTTCTGAGTCTCACCTCCTTTAATGCCCAGTGGCAAATGGGGTGACTTCCAGCAACTTCTAGGAAGTTCTTGAGGAATTTAAAAATGACTAAAAGTCTCGCTTTTTGATAAGTTCAAAAATTCACTAGATGTTGACAAATCGGGATGTTCACCTGCATTTCCTTTGCTAAATCAGCTTTGTTTAAAATTCATCCGGGATAGGAATATGGCTGGACTCATTTGTATGTTCTGTAGGAAAACAATTACATCACAGTCATTTCAAAATTGTGTTTTTAGTGACAATGAAATGAATTGATTGGCAGTACATACATAATTGGTGAGTTTCCAAACCTTTAATGAAATGTGTTTTGCTCTCTCCGAGTATCAGGAGACCTGCACTCGTGTCTTCTTGTATTCATTTTGGTGACTTTCTTAATAGCATCTCAATGACAAACCAGAGATGCCAGCTTGATAAATGCCAAGTACTTAAGTGTGTAAAGAGGGCTTTAAAGTGATTAGAAAATGGAAAGTGCTCTTTAAAGTAGCTTAGAGGTGAACCCCATAAGAAATGATTTCAAGGCTGGCAGATGGCAGTTATGTAAGAGGCCAGGAGGCTTTTATCAGAACAGAGTGTTGCTTCAGTTAGCCGATGGCATGCTCGAGTCAGAGATAACAGGATCATTAGAACAGGTAACAGCTGGGGCCTGTCATGGGGCTCGAGTGTTCGAGCCTGGGTCAAGTCACTAGCCGACTGTGACCAGTTCTCCCAAGCAGAGGCACAGTCCTGCCTGAGCACTGCCCAGTGCAGGGTGAGATTAGCTGGCCCTGCCTGGCACCGTGACCCATGCGGTAGGTGGGGCTGCTATTGAGGGACACACCTTTCCTCCAATTGGTGCCGCACAGACAGAGAGACACAGACCGGAGGGGCACCGCCTACAGTTCCTCGTTCTTCCCTGAATGAGGCTCTTATTTCCAAGATGAAACGTGAAAGAAACCACAGTCTGTTCCAAAAACTGGGCGGGAAATCTCAAAAAGTGGCGATTCTAAATAAAATAACAAACAGATTCATCTCTGTGGAGGAAGAGAGGGATGTAAGAGCAGTGCTGCTGAGTCCTGGTCTTGCCAGGCAACACTTGTGCAGCATTATGATTTAACAAGATCCTTTATTATATAGTTGGCAGTCAGCTGGATAAGAGAACATTAACACAAGAAGCACTTACAAAGTTTCTTTTGTGGAGTGGACTGAGTGCTCCTTACATCCAGAAACATTGTCAAGAAAGGGTTATGCTCTTTTCTACAATCTTGTACTTCCAACAGACATGTTGTCACAATTTGTCCCAGTCACCAACACTTTTCTCCTGTCAAATTAAACGATGGTGGAGTAAAAACAAGCTGAATAAAGTCAAACATTTTTTGTAAGGACGGGACCTGAGAACGTGTAGTCTTAGTCATTAGTAATAATGTGTGTATGCAGCGGGAACAGGTGGCATTCCAAGTGTCGGAATTCCCTCCGGCTCTCAAGGCTTTGATACATGTCTCTGTGCTGAGCTGAGCCCTTGCTTTTTTGGGGAAAAAGACACTGAGGTGTTGTTGGAAATTTCCAAAAATGAATTGCACAATAACACATTCTCTAAAGGCAGGAGGGCTCATCAAAATGTTTCTGTTCGTGAAGCTCAGGCCTTCATGTGCCTCTAGTCAGCTATCATTGGCCAGCTGTGTGCCCTGTGACTGAATCGGCTCCTCTTTTGCAGCGTGTGCAGCGAGGCCATCAGCTACTTCCTGACTCTGACATCCGAAAGCCACAGAGAGGCCTGGACAAACCTCCTGCTCCTGTTCCTCACCAAGGTTTTAAAAATCAGCGATGACAGGGTAAGACCTCCATGCAGTGTTGCCAACAGAACACCAGAGTCGATCACCCTTGCGTCTGTGACAGACTGGCGTCTCATCAGGAATTTTGTCTCTCCTGGCACCAGTGTTTCCAGAATAAGCTCTGTGTTGCCACTCCTATTGGTAGCATATCACTCTGCAACGTAAAACTGGCAGACCACTCAGCAGGTGTGAGTCTGGCCAGTACCTGGATGGGAGACATCCTGGAAAAGCTAAGGTTGCTGCTGGAAGAGCTGTTAGTAGGGGCATTAGGGGGAGCTCACCCTGCAGTCTGTGTGGGTCCTAATGGCCCAGTATAGTGATGGTTATACTGTGAAAAAGGCGCTGTCCCTCAGATGAGATGTAAAACCAAGATCCTGGCCTTTACCAGTGATGGCCTCCTAATAATCCCCATCTCTGAACTGGCTTCATCACTCTGTTCTCCTCCCCACTGACAGCTGGTGTGTGGTGAGTGTACTGGTGCATCATCCAGGTGGGGCTGCACACTGGTGGTGATGGAGGGGAGTCCCCATTACCTGTAAAGCGCTTTGAGTGGCGTCTCCAGAAAAGCACTATACAATTGTAAAGATATATAATATTTTTATTGCTGACGAGTGTTGTCAGCCTAGTTTTAAGCATTTTCTCATTGCAACTTCCTTGTAATTCAATGAGCTTTCAATAGCTCTTTCCCAGGTGTTTCATTTTAATCCAGGTCCTTCGACACTTTTCAATATACCTGACCGCATTGCTGCAGTAAGAACTGTGTCAGGGGGATAACGTCCGGCGTTTTGTTTTTCTCCCCTTCTTAGTTCAAAGCTCACGCTTCGAGATACTACCCCCTGTTGTGTGAAATCATGCAGTTCGACCTCATTCCCGAGCTGCGAGCCGTCCTGCGCAAGTTCTACCTGCGGATCGGGATCGTCTTTAAAATATCGCAGACCCCCAGCCAGGAGGACGGCGACCGCGAGTGACGGAAGAGCGAATTCCCCCCCGGCCCTCCCTGGGGGGCTCGAGTTTGAGGTCTCGTTTGTATCTGTCTACGTTCTTGGGTTCCTTTCGTGTCTGGCCAGTTGCTCCCTGCCGAAGGGTCCTCAGGCCGCTGTGAACTTTGACCCCGGCTTGCAGCCCTCCGTTCCTTCCCTACACGCAGGCCGGCTGCCGGTACCGAAAGCTCATTCCTGGCTCCGGCGGCGCACAGAGCGCCTTGAAAGCAGGGACCACCAGCGGCGTGGCCGCTGTCGGCCGGTGTCCGTCCTCGAACGATGGGAAACAAACGCGCCTTGTACAGAAGAAGAAATATCCTGAAGGAAAATAATGATAAAAATTAAATTATTTCTAACCTTCTGAGTGTTCAGAAGCTTAGTATTTTGAAGGAAGTGTTTCTTGCTTTCTCTTGACATCAGTGTATCTCATACCTGTCGAACGAAAACAGACTAAAATGGAAAGTGATCAATAATTAGTAAAAATGAAGAGTACGGTTAGTCTGAGTGACTTGATTTTGGTTTGGGTTTTTTGCACAGCCAGTGGCTAACATAATTGTAAAACAGCCCCTCGGATGAAACTAGTTGTACAGAAATGCAGCTCTGTAATATAATCTCGTAACACTAGAAATCTCTTTCTGGAATAATTTTATTTCTGTATTTTATGTTTCTCAGATTATGCTGCACTCATATTTTATTCAGTGAATGCACTGGGGATTTTTACTTTTTTGTGAAAATTTTATTTTAACTTTACCATTGCTTAGTCAGATTGCCTATTGAGGGTTAGGATTGGTGATTATTTACGAATAGGACAAAGAAAAATGAGTACAAATATTCCATTTATAATATGTACAGAAGCTTTTATTTAAATTAAAATGAAGCCAGTGACAAGGGGGGGGGGATTTCATAAAACTGGAACTAAAATACTGCAATCTAATCTGAAGTGCATCTGAATAGTCACAAATCTGTCTCCATGTTTGATGTAGGTTTCACTGTATGTGTACAAAATAAAAAAAAAATCAATGTTAAATATAAAAATCATTTTTTGGCTTGGGGGGTGACTATACTGAAACGATTAAAAATGTGAAATGTGCTTTTGATGGTTAAATATGGATATGAATGGTTCTGAAGCATTCCTAGTTACGGTTGTGTAGAAAATTAACGGACGAAATGTATATGGAACAGCAATGTAAAGTTTTCTATGTACAAAAACAAACTGTACAACTTTCTGTACAATCTTGGTTATCATCCGGCACATTCTAATCAGGTCATAGGTCAATAAAGTTTTTGAACTCTGTTCATCAGTGCAGTTCAACTTTGAACCATTTTTGATTCCACGAGCCCTTCAATTCTCTATGATAACTGGGGGTGTTGTTTTGGGCTACATGCCTTTGTGCCAAAGACACTAGCCATCAGAACATCATACACACAAACCTCTGCAACAGTGATTTGAAATGAAGTCTGCATTGGAAACATCTCGTTGTGGAGGAGTCTCTAGAGGTGCAAGCGTGAGGCCCTTGATGTTGAAATTGAGGGAATATTGCACAGGAGCTATTTCAGGGAGCATGGGATTTTCACAGAGCTCAGTGCAAACAGTATTGAGTGACACAAGAGTAGAAATAATACTAAAAGTTAAGCTGAGCTTGTGGGTTTTTCACTTTTCAGGAATGGACCATTTAATGTGCAGTGAATTCAAGCATGCAGTCTATCCCAATTCCTGATAGATGGAGAAAGGAGAATTGTAAAACTAAAATAGTTCAAGGGAGGAAGCACAGCCATTTTAATTATGGAAATGTAAGCTTGATGAGACCCCGAGAATAATTCACACAGCTGTTCAAAACAGTATCTACCCATTTCAAAAGGTTATTAATGTCTTTGATTATATTTAATGAAGATTAAATCTCATTCCTACAAAGTTATTCCATAACTTGGCATCCTACTGCATCAGAGAATCTGGATTAACGCTTGCACAATGTGTGGCATTTTTTTTTTGTATAATAAGGATATAATGCCAGTATACATATGAAATGCGCCTTCGTAACTGTAATATAGCTCATTTTACACAGAAGAGGTCCTAATTTGTACCAGAACTGGAAGAATGCCAGGCAATTTATTCTTCGCATTGTCTCCTTTGTGCGAGGATGGAGGAGTCACAAAGCACTGTTGGCCTCTGGAAGGGTCCCAGCCATTGTTGAAGCCAGTACTCTGTGGCAGGATGAGCCTGTATGATTAATTAGCTTTGGAAAGAAAACTAAATTATGAGAGACCGTCTTATGTTCATTGATAAAAAGTACCTAGGGTTGCCTATTCAGGGGCAAGATTAGGCAAGAGGTTGGAGAAGCCTGGTCAGTCATTCTCCCTTTCATAAAGTGTTCCCAAGCTTTATAATTTATAAGAAAAATAAGAAAATTTGACAGTTGTCACTGCTCCAACCTCATGGAAGTACTGTATGTGAAATGCTTTAACTGCTACAGAGAATCAGATCTAATAAGTGACTATTTCAACCTCCATTGAAAGATTAAAGCAATACTTTTGCCTGGATTTTTCATATAAGAAATTCAGTACAAAATCTGATATATTACAGATACAGATGTAGTTCTTTGTTAGTCAAGATGCAGCCACAGAAAAGGTGTACTGGTAAGTATTCTCTAATACATTCTCTAAAAGTTGGTTTTTTTTCCCTTCACCACTTGATGTGTTAAATGTACAATTGTGAAGGAAATACAATAGAATATCCTATAATAAAGTATTTAATTCTACTCCATAGTATACAGGTGATCTCTACTAACCCAATCTTAACCTTTCCGTAGACCCACTCACATCGATCTGTGTTTTTTTTTTCCCCATTTTCATGATATTTGAAACATTACATTTTTCCCTTGTTTTATATACACTTGACCAGATCTGGGACAATCATGATAACCTCCTATCAGCTGGTGGCACTGTCCAAGTCTAGCAGTGATACATTCTAGTGACTTTAACTTGCTGGCCAGCAGTAAAGTCACAATTCAACACACTGTAGTACATTCCCTCACTGCTTCATGGAGCCACAGCACCATTACACAGCAACTAAAAGTGAAAAATATATGGCTTTCATGTATAAGCACAACCTTCACAATCTTTTTAGGCCACACTTTACTGTCAATTTGACCAAACTCAGGTGGAAAGAAAGGGTCACTCATAAAACCATTAGGAAAGATGGCAATTACAAGACGAAAGCCAGTTTTCATCCAATGTTTCATGTAAACAAGGATAAACTAGTACAGCTCTTGTGCATTAATCTGTAGCTCAAAGTCAAAAGTGTCTGACACAGCATTGAATGCAGACAAAAAAAACAATTATTAAAATATAATTTATTTAAATAGCTCCTAGAAACAAATCAGTACTTTACAAGTTTAAGTTAAAAAAAACACTCTTGCAATCTATACATGTTTTCCAAAGCATTTTTTCACATTCTTATTACTACGTAGAATAAAAGCAGTAAGACATGTTTTTTAAGTTATCTAAAATATGATTTCCTAAAACTGACAAGAAATGCAGGTTTCTTACAATGAATTTTCTCCTGTACCCTTGCAGCAAGTAATTAAGATCCTTCTTCAGGTCCTGGATTACCGGTGCAATGATATTATTGCGTGTACATCATTTTGTTTTCTCAGCTGTGAACAGGAGAGAAGTAATGTAAAACCTTTAACAACCCCCGAGAGCTTTTTCTGTCCCCATCACAGTCTAATAAGGTTTATCATCGGTCTGTGACAGCTGCTAATGTCGAAGCAGGGCGAGAGCAGGAAGAGTGGGGGCCCCTCTGCAGGATACCCATGAGAGACAGCAGACTAGTCCCAGCGCTTAATTAGACAGGTCTGTTCTATATTTCAGTAGCCAGTAGCAGCAGCAGCCTGAAAAAGAGATTGCTACTATTAACCCAAATTGGGACATTTGTTTAACTCTGTGTTCTGGTTTATGATGCCGATGCTCATGGGCTATTATGGTAAAGGTGGAAGAAGCTCTCCAGTGTCCATTTAATCTGTCCATAAATACCATCTGCTTATTTTCCTAAAACATCATTATCAAAACAAGAGGCTCCTACTGTAACTCTCCATCACACAATCCTCAAAAATACCTAGAAAGCCTAGCTTTCACAACTATACTCAACCCTGTGATTCAGTGGGATCAGTGTCACCACTGCTTGAAACTTTACCTTTAAAATTCCTGTGCATACTGATGTACCATTAATTCCATACCAGGATGTGAGAGAGTAGACTTTAACAAAACCATAAAAAGGGGTGTTTTAGAAAAGAATATTGATTTTTGTTTTCTAGGAGTGCAAGAACACATTGAAATTTTCCCAAGAAACATTCACAAAGAGACAGCAGAATGTCAATCACATTTTCCTTCCCATGCGGTTGTCAAAACTTAGCAAGAAAAACATAAATAAACCCAGCACTCTACATATTCACAGCTGTGAAATAAAGGCCAATAATCCAGAGAGGTAGATAATCGTAAGCACTCAGGAAAAGGGCTCAGATCTGTAATCTCAATGCTAATGCACACCAAGCAGTTCGAAGCTCAACAAAATAACCATTTGTTTTCATGCAGCTCTCTTTACAATTATTTTCCAAAAGATAATGTGCTGAAGGCCACACAAAGCAGTTTCCACACACTAACACTACACAACCCGGAAAGTGCACAAACTACGCTCTTCCCCCGTGCCCGCGGTCATCCGTGAGAGGTGGAGGGACCCTCCCAGTTTAGGGCCAGAGAGTTAGCAGAAGGCGGCCTCTCTCGCCGTGTCTGTCCAGCCATGAAGCGCTTCAGTGTGTCTGAAGTCCCAGGTCTGAGCCAGGGCTCGGTGGCCACGGTCTCCACAGAGTACGGCCGGTCTCTGTCCGTCGGGGAAACTTGCTTCAGGATGTCGTCTGTCTCGTCAGCAGACGCCTCTCCTGTGAACAGCAATTAGAGCTGACAACCAAACCCTGCAAAAGCAGTGACTGTGTCTTAAGTATATGCACCTTCGTGTAAAATCCATCTTTTTGGCGATTATTTCCTAGGCATTTTTCAAAAGATACATCATATACCAAATATATTTTCAGAACTAATATGTTATTTCACATTTCAAAATAAAAAAGTCTGACCAAAGCCTGTTTTTTACTTAATGCCTTTTTTGGAATTTTATTTTTTTACAAATGAGGCCTATTATTAAATGAATGAGTTTTTAAACAGAATTGTCTTAATGACTTGTTTTAAGCAGTGCGACAGTCCAAACATCACTTTTCTGTCTCCCTGTAAAGTGCTTTATTTTTCTATTTGACATATTACACTGAATTCTTTCCACCTAATACCTCTTTTCTGAACTGATGAACTGTCCACGAGGTCATGATCTGGACAGTATAGAGAGGACTACTAAGAACAAAGCTGTGGTGATTCTGCTTTTGGGGTTCCTCACCAGTCCTCCAGCTCTGATGGCTCAGGTCCTCCAGGCGTCTCATCCTGCGCTCGTTGCGATCCCTGAGCTGGTCCATATTGAGGCTGGCCAGAGAGTATGCGTCTGCCTCCGCTGCAGGGTCTCTCAGCTCTCTGGGCGCCCCCTTATCCTGGATTCCAACCCAGAACAGAAGGCATCAAAGACTTTTTCTTTTGCACAATTAAGTATTATATTGATTAAAAGCATCAAGATCATTGCAAATTACATTTTCAGTTTTATTGTAAGGACTTGCCATCTTAATTATTGTAGGCATACAGATATTATGGATTATGCCTAGGTTTAGGATAAGTGTGCAAAAAGCTGACAATTGTGGAGCACCTACAGGATCAAAGTCCATCTTCTTGTGTTGTCTCCTGCGCTCCCTTGCAGACAGTTGCCGTGTGCTCTGGTCAGTGTCTGGCAGCACTGCGACCGTCTCTCCAGAGGTACCTGTTGGACGACAAGGGCAGAAATGTCAGGATCCTCTCAGTGATAAATCACGATTGCAGCATAACACAGATTTGTACCAAAAGGCTACGTTTTAAAATATGTTAAACAGATTAATGCATCTACCATTAATAGCAGGGCCAAGCAAAAGAATCAGGACAGGCAGTGATGGTCCTGCAAGATTCAGTGGTGAATGAGTATTTGAGCAATTTGGTTAGTCATCTCTAAATGGAGACTCCAGATGTGAATCAAAGCACACAAAGAAAGCAAACAAATTGCAAATTATCAAATGGGCTCTTTGAAAACTGCAGACAAATAAACATTGGCCTTTAAAGGTAACAGGATGGCTAAAAACGAATCCACAAAAAGCTCAATCTACGACTTTCCGCTATAGTGTCAATTTGTAAAGAATTTTAAGTCTACTGCTCTATAGTGCTCACCCTACCGAAAAGAGAATGTAAGTGTACCTTGTCACCACAAACTGCCAAACAATTGGTTAGGGTGGCAACCATAAATCCAAAGGCAACAGTTGGAGATGTAAAAACAGATAGTGATCTCTTCAGAATACAAGCTGGTGTATTCAGCAAAATTTCCATTCAAAGTTGCCTGCATGGATGCAGTCTTCATAGCCAAGTTGGAAGGAAGAACCCTCTTCGGTGGGAGACCCACAAAAAGAGCTAGATGTCATTTCAATGGCAACTGGACCATGTCTTATGATTACATTAAATTAAAATTCATCTTTTTGGATATGCTCATCAGCATTATGCTTGGTATACAAAAATATGAACCTTGTGTTCATAAAACACTTAAGCCCACTCTGAAATATTGTGTGGAGTCTATTATAATTTGGGGGCTTTTATGAATTGGTTAACCTGTTACCGCATCCCTCATCATAACTGGGGAAAATGAACTCCAACAGACATGTGATTTTGTTCTGCCAAGAAGCTCAAGCTTTGTTCTCAATTGGCCATCTTTGTCTTCAGACCTTATTCCAATTGCACTGATTCTAACTCAAGATGGCAGTTCACTACTATAAACCAAAGGATCTGAAGGACTCACAGCAATTCTACATGGAGGAAGGTTCATAAATCTCTCTAAAGAGCCACAGACTCGTACAGTAGCAGAGTCTAGGACGTGTCTAATCAGTGCAAGCCCTCCCAGAGGACTGTTTTACAAAATACTAACTACAGGAGTGTGAATAAATGGCACCCTCCTTTTTTCTGGAATTAACAATTATAAAAATGTCCTTGTTCTGATCAATTGTATTCAGCTCACTGTATTTTTTATCTTTAATCATTTTTAAGCAAGAAACATGACCCAGTCTGTAAACCATTTGGTTTTTTCTGTGTTTACTGTTCCTTCAGGGATATGCATTAATGTGGAGGACAGTGTGTAGCTTCTTAATGATGTATAGTATAATGCTGTTGTTTTTTTGCTCTTATAATATTAAGGGCAGGGTATCAAAATGAGGCAAAGAAAGAATTAGAATATTAATTTATGATTAATTAATAGTTAAAAAGGATTTAGTGATTCTTTACCTCAGTAACATCTACAATTGCCAGATCGTTCTTAGTAGTTGCCTAGAGTTAACAATACTAAGTAGGCTTAGTTTAGTTTTAACCTTATGTTTTAGCAGTAAAGCCACCTGCATAAAGGTTTTGGTTAGGTTATCCTTACTCCACTTCAGAACTAAAGCCATTCACATTCATGTATTTTACAGCTCTACGTTGGCACTATCAGCCTTGGCACATGGCTTCAGTTCAGCTATGCTTACACTGACAGGCATACGGGTTCTGTTTTCTTTTTGCCCATCAAGCTGTCAAGAAATACCAGATATTCAAACCTCTTCAGCTCTGCTGCACTCAGATGAAAGAAGCTGAAAGAACTCCATTTCTGCCATTAAGGGCCTATCTAATGGCATTCTACCAAGAGACAAGAGAAGTGCCACAGTTCAGTAGTTCACAATCAAACTAGTGGAGACAGCTGTTCACTTTTATGATTTACAAAGATAAGTACAACATGAAATAAGAAGGACGAGAAGTTTGACAGGTTTGTGAAGAAGAAAATAAAGACTTACCAATGAAAGCACTCTCGGATTCTAACAGTGATCCTCTCAAGGGCTTTGCTGCAGAGTCCATTCTCTAGAGGAATAAACCAAAGTTTAAAACCAATGAAAGCCATTTCCTCTATAAAATGTTGCCGAGAGTCTACATGCACATCTTAATAGGAGATATTTGTACTAAAGAAACATATCCAGTGAAAAATAAAACAGATATCCCAACCAACATTAAGATCTTTTTCAACAAAAGCTGGGTGTGGGGCAGATAACATAATATATTATCATACTATAACTGTTTTATGCCTTTGCAAATGTATTGCAGAAAAGGGATCTGTAAAATCCACCGTGTGGACAAAAACTTGAAACCTGAAGACTCCTCCGGCGTCAGGAAGGTAGATGTGATTTTTTTATATGACAGACATTAATGCTGCTTACCAAGTGATGTTTTTGATGTCCCGCATGAGAGAATTCAAAATCGTCTGCAGGAATAAAAAACAAAACAAAAAGTTGTTCAAGTGCCGTGGAGTCTGAAGAACAACTGAAAGTTGCATTTAAACTTTCCATGTTTATAATTTCGGTTCTCATTAAGCCCACTTATGCACACGTATGTAAATGTACATAAATATACTTCTGCAGCTCCCATGTCCACTGACGGTTTAGCCTGGCAACCCCGAGAGAGAAAAGAAGCGTCTCCAACCGACGTTCCCTACAAGACTCTCCGGTTTCCCCTGGCTGTTCTCACCAGTGCCTCCTCTCCTCCTCAGCGAGTTGATCCTCCTTTGCTGTTCGCGGAGAAGGGCCTGCTGCTGGATCTCCAGGCCGCGGTCGTCGCTGGGGGGGTCGGGGTACGCCTGGCGCACCTCTTCCCGGGACTCGCTGTCTGCAACACAAGTCCGCCCAAAACATCCACCTTGAACCAAAACTGACTTCTCCGCTGTATACCGAACATCAGAAATAACCTACCACTTATAACTCCTACATAATAATGTTCCGAGCAGGAAACTGAAAATCTTTCCTGCTGTGGTGGTACTAACATCTTGTTCATAGCTAAGTCAGAGATCACACTGCACAGGGAATCCACTGGGAAAGTCAAAGTTTTGGAGCTCGGGCGGTCACCATCGGTTCCTGCCGTGTAGCGGGTTGCTTAAGCGGTCTTGCGGAGTTCTGCCTCATCTGCTAGCAAAGCCTGGACAAGCACGTGCCTGTTGCCCGGTTTCTGAGCCCCTGATGACAAACATGCCTCCAGCTAATCTTCAAAATCAGCAATCAGAAGTGCACCCACAGCATAACTGTCTCATTCTCATCCTGAAATGCGAAATGCTTCTCATTCAGGTGACATTATGATGTGCATTACCCTGCTGAAATGTCACGCCAGGGCCAGCCAGCAGAACAGCCTGATGAAAAAGACCCAAAACAGATCTCGTATAATAAATAAATATAATATATAAAATAAAGGACCAGTCACTGTAACACCAAACACAATCAATATTCCCACAAACATAAGACAGACTCCAAATGAGAGGATGACATTCAACTCATCTAGTCCATTCAAGTACATTATCCAATCTGGATATCTAAGTGATTTCTCGATTGAGAACGGGTGTGGCAGTAATCAGGCCTGGGTGTGGCTAGAGAAACTGAACTCAGCTTTCCAAAGATGTGATAAACCACAGCTGATTTATGTTTTAACAGGGGGGGGCAATCACTTTTTCACAAAGGGCCATGTAGGTTTGGATTGTTTTTTCCCTTAATAATAAAAACCTTCATTTAAAAACTGCATTTTGTGTTTACTTTGTCTAATATTTCAATTTGTTTGATGATCTGAAACATTTCAGTGTGACAAACATGCAAAAAAATAAGAAATCAGGAAGGGGGCAAACACTTTTTCACACCACTGTATACTTCCCCTGTTAAAGTTACTTTTTGTTGGACAAGCTTTAAGAAGTGATTTGAAGACTGAGGCACACTTCTTAGCCTTCAGAGCAGCTCTTGGGGACCTGGGTGAGCGTGCAGTGTTGTGACTGAGGAATCCCTGGGCGAAATCAAGCCCTAATCAATCCAGCTGATATTTGGGAAGTTGTGCTCTACTGCTTGAGAACTCTTGGCCAAAGCAGACTTATAACTGAGTTAAGACTCAAACCAAGCAATGAGTGATTTTTTTCTCAATAAATCTGTATTCCCATGAAGGAAAACAACATTTAACATTTAAAACTAAAAAACAAAAAAAGCCTACGCCTCCCCCATTTTCTTTCTGCCCTGCTTTCTGAGGCTGATTGGTGTATTTCTGTAACTCCAGTCAGGTGTTTTGCCGTCTCTCTTCATGAAGTAGTAGATTTGATGGTTCAGACTTATACACAGGAAACTGAAAGTATATGCATACAGGAATGTGGCTGTTCAAGATATACAAGTGATAACTAAGATGGTTTCACTATATTTTAACATAGTGTTAAACCTAAGGCACAGTTATCCTGTGCAGAATAGAAATACTACAATTTCTCTTTAAAACTTAATAAGAAATATAGTGTATTATTAAGAAATACCTAAAGCTACCAATAAGAAATAAAATCTTTCATTTTCAGGGTAAGACTGAATTCTAAAGGCCCACCAGCCAAAGGTAAGAAAAAAAAACATCAAGAAATAACCCCTAAATGGGCCGTGTAAATCACCAATGTGCTTGAGAAGACTAATATTATACCAGTTTAATGAATGCATCTGGATACAAACTTGCCATAAAGGTCTTATCAGACCTTCAAAACATTTAAGAGATTTGTAAATTTCAGAACTGTACATTTTGTAGACGGTTGTTAAAGAAAGGCACTCAAACTTTCAGTGTGCAAGCAGGTCTGTGGACTTGCCTCTGTATTTGAGCTGGTTGAATTCCCTGATGTTCTGGATGTTCATGGGCTCGAGCGCTCTGGTGGACGGTCTCCGGACAGGAGCTTGCATGCGCAGTCTGGCCATGTCAAACACATCCACCTGCGCCTTGTCTCTGCGCCTGCACGCAACAGAGCATCACCGCACCCCCGATCAAGACAGCATGTCGTGACCATAATTACATAATATTGTTGACTTCAAGGATTTATAGCTTTAAAAATAGATTTTTGGGGGCCTGACATCTTACATTAGAACAGGTAGTATTTTATTACCTCTAGGATCCCCACATTATCTTAATCCGACTCTACGGTAATTTATCACTTTTTGAAAGGAACAATTCACATTGTCATCCATTATCAATAGGTTATCATAATTATCATTCTAGTATCAGATATCACCTATCTGTAAGCCTTTTAGTGGGGAAGACAATAAGAAGAATAAGATAATAAAAATTAATATTAAAGGTTGCTGTGTAAATGTTAGTGAATCTGCCAGTAACAATGAAATCACATGATAGTAGTTTCAGTCAGAACTAGGTATACCATTAATATTTTCATGTGACAACTACTCACACTTTATAAAAGAGATGGCAACATTTATGTTGGACTTTATAATCACAAACATGCTGAAGACATAGCGCTGAAGCAGCATTATGAGAAAAGAAAAAAATCACTAGCTGAGGTCATGAGAAAAAACATGATTTAAACAAAATGTTGATACCTGAAGAAACCCAATTTACAAATACCCAAATACAATAAACAGTTTCAAATTAAACACAGCAGAGGGGAATCTGAGGTATTTGTTAAAGGAATTTTATAGGAAAATGGGGAGTGAAGCTGCAACAAATGACTGATGAATTATCAAGAGGCAATTTCGTAGTCTCAGATTAGGAATAAGGAAATATGAAAAGGTTCTCTGTCAAGAGCATAGTCTCAGGAAACGAAACAACATCTCTGCTCCAAATCCATCACTTTACAAAGATTGGTTTTAAGGTGAGAGCGCAAAGAAATTCAAACTTGGGATCTACAGGTCAATGTCGAGCTCAAGGCCGTTGACCAACTCGCACTTTGACAGGAAACGAGCATGTTGATGTGGGCCCGAACGAGGCAGAGCACCCAGCCCAGCTCTGCTCTGGACGAGCCTGTCTCTACCTGCCAGACAAAGGCGTGTCCAGATCCTCGTGGTCCAGATGCAGGAGCTGCCCCTCGAGCCGGCGCTGCTCACTGCGCAGCTGCTTCCTCAGGACCGACAGCTCGCTGATCACCCCCTGCTGGTCCTCTGCAGGCAGACATGCCAGCACACACTCACTCTAACACCTGATGGAAACCTGGCCCGCTGACAGACGGGCATGCGTGTGTGTAGAGGTTTAGCCCAACAACATACAGTACATAGGTATATTGGTAATATACCTATATTGTTATTATTCCTATATTGGTAATAAACCTATATATAAAATGCAAAGGAACAAGTAATAGGTTTATTCCATGCTGAAAAAAAGAAGAAAGAGAACACAACGTTTCGGCCGTGGAGACTTCTGACACACCTGAAGAAGGCTCCACGGCCGAAACGTTGTGTTTCTTCTTTTTTTCAGCATGGAATAAACCTATAACTTGTTCCTTTGCAGCCCACGCATGCTGACGCAGCTACCCACCTGAACTATATATAATATATTACCAATATATCTGTATGCATAGGTATATTACACAAAACCTAGCTTTTCTCAGGAGGTTAAAATGTACAATGTTTTTAAGCTCAACGAATGTCTACCTTCACGGTTTCTGAGGACTGCATACATTTTGGAACGTCGTCTTGCAGCAGTAGTAATGTGTGGTCAGGTTTTTTGGTTTGTTTTTCTTCTGCAATTAATAATTTTTAAATCTATGGTGCATGTACTGTTTACAGTATTTGTAATCCCCAAAATTAGGATGAATAACACCAGCAAATAAAGCTGCAACTGAGAAAGCAGGGAAATTCATACAAACTAAAGATCTTTTTCTGTCATATTTCTAATATAAGATGATAAAGCATGGTTTCATTCTTTCAAAACTTTTTTTTTTCTTAAATCAGACTGCTCGCATTTATCAGTCAAAACCACTACTCAGAACTGAAAACCGAGCAACTAAATAAATGTGAGCAGTGCTTTGAACGGGACTCCTGGGCTCTCCCTGCCCTGGGCGGCAGTCTCACCTGCTGCTCGCAGCTGGTTCCTCCTGGCGGGCACTGGCGGGGAGCGAGCGCCCGATTGCGAGCGTTCCTGAGAAAGATGAAGGAACGGAGTGACTGCAAGGAGTTTTATTTTACTGCTTTACAAAAAAAAAACAGCTAGTTTTCGTAATCTACCATCTTTTTATGAGAAATAACCAAATTCTGATCATATTTCCAGAGTTGAAGAACACTGATCTAGTGATGCTGCAATACACAAACTCTCCAGGCTTACAGACAGTGCTCTGACTCACAGACACAGCAGTCGAGTGGCGGCTGTCGATAGACAGAGGTCTGGGAGTCTGCTGGGAGGTCATCCTCTTCTGCAAGGCTGGAATCGGAGGAGATGGCTGCCGTGGGACCTGTAGGCAACAGCAAATGTGGGCTCACAAAAAACACGATCAGGTGGGAAAGCATCCAATACACGGAGGACGCATCATTTCGGAAAACCGCAGCTTGCTGCCCGTGTTCTCCTTCATCACGCGTGGCTACTACACACGGTTGAATTCCATACAGCCTTATAGCAACACAAACCTACAACAACCCACCTTTCATTTTCACAGTCATTATGTTTTAGAAATTAAAACAAATTATGCCAAAGGCTTGTGAGTTTCAAGGTAACAGATGCCTGAAGGAAAAAGACTTGTGACCCTGACCTCCTCCAGTCTAGCCTGTCTCTCCCTCTCGTACTGCTCTCGCTGCAGAGATTCTCTCTCCTTCTCCTCCGCCTCGCGCTTCTTCCGCTCGGCCTCCTGGCGGCGCTCCTCCGCCTGCTGCACCAGCTCCTCGTTCTTCAGCTTTTGCTGAGGAGGAAAGGGGGAGGAGAAAAAGCAGCGCGAGATAAAGGAAGGGGCAATGACGGCAGGGACCTGGAGATGTAAGGCGTCATTCCCAGTGGAATGTTTACTGGGATGTAAATTGTTAGGAAATTTGAAGGATGTACTCTGAGGAATACACAAAAATTATCTGACAGCAAGGGAACCACCACATCAGTTCAGCTGGTGGATGATCTACACATATGAAACTACTTCCTTCATAGTAGAAGTACTGTAGCACCACTAATGTTTTGTATTTAATTTTTGAATTCATACACACAATAGTACTGTACATTCGTTTGATAGATAACCACACAGAGTACAGCCTCGAGCAGCATTCTTTATCATCATTAATGTGAAGGTGTCTAATAACCTGACAAATCCACTCAAAAGCTTTTCCTTCTATCCCATGTCAGCTATGTTTCCAATAAAACATGTTAAATAAAAGATACTTCATGGCTTTATGTATAATCCTTGTGGAATTTACATTGAATTTATATGATGAAACAATTATCACTGCAACACAAAAGTTCTGTTGAACGGGTTTTGGTTCACTTCAGTAGAGGGTATGAGGCCAACCAGCCATAACTGAGGACACTTCATCATTGTTGAAATAAAGCAAGTGGCTTAGACATCTGCTTTAGTGCTGTCTGCATTAATGAAGAATGAATCTGTAAAGAAGACTACTCTCACGGTGTTATAATCTGAAATTTTAAGTACAATTCAGCTGTTCCTCACACGAGCAGTTACAGTATAGAGTAACACTGTCTTCCCTATAGTCCTCATGTCAGAGGCTGACCTCCAGCTCTTTTTGCTTTTTCCTCTCCAGCTCCTCCTCGTACTCCCTCTGGATCTTCGCCCTCTGCTCTGCCAGACGCTTCTCCTCCTTCTCTTCCTCCAGCCGGAGCCTCTCGCGCTCCTCCGCTTGCTTACGCCGCTTTTCCTCGATCTGGAAGCGAGCAAAGACAGAGCTAGCACTCCGAGAGACTATTTGTCACGTCCCCGCGAAAACAGCACGTCCTAAACCTGATTTTACTCACTGACCTCCAACTGTAAAGATAAGTAACTGCACTAATAACCACCACCAAATAATTTAAAACGAGAAATAGTAAAATGTACATAAATGTATTCCATTGTTGTACTCCTGGGTTTCTCCAAGGAACTTGAACTTGAACTTTATTGCCATACAGAACCGGTACTGGTACAATGGAATTCTTACTTACAGGAAGTCTCTCGATTGTAAAACAAGTGTAAAAAACAAAACATGCTATAGTGCAAACAGTGCATCAAGACAATATACAAACAAACAGTAGACAATGTGCAAGTAAACATGTAGACAGTTTGAATGTAAACAATACAGACGTGTAAACAATGACTGAAGATGTGCAATAGATAAGAAATCATAAAGAGGTAGGATCTGTGAAACACGGCAAAATGATGAAGGAGAAAGAATAATTTACTATTAAACTCTGTAGATGCAAGTGCAAAACCACTGCTGGTTGAACTGCGAAGGTCCTGGTTTTTGTGTGATTGCAACAGTGGGTACCTGTTGTTTGAGGTAGTCCTTGTATTTGTCTTGCTCATGGAGCTGCTGGGGGGTGGGGACCTCTGCAAACACATTGCCTCGAGCGAAGGGTGACGTGTGGGCAAAAGAAAAACCTATCAAAACAAAAAAAACAACAAAACGAGTCACCAATCTACACTGCCATCAAATAAACCGAGTCGCCAATCTGTATTGTCAGCATGTGTTTGAGAAAGAGAACAATAATTCTCAGCATTGTAAAAATGCAAAGAAGTTCTGGCAGACTAAAGGAGGGTGCTAAAAAAAACTACCCGGCCTTACCCGATATTCGATGTGCGGAGGGGGCTCGAGCTTCGTCTCTGGGCGTTGCTACGTTCCTGCTGACAGACACCACAGCTCTCTTGTCGCGAGCCTCAGGGTTTGTGTACGCCTCTTCGTTGGACTTGTGCATTCTATTCAGATCAGCTGGAAACGTAGTCATTCAGCCTGTTACAGCACACTGAACCACATTTTTTTTTTTGTTTTGACACCTATCCCCCCCCCCATCTACATATTATAAATATGTAATGGCTGCTGAAGCAAAGCATTCATCATTCAATTTGATCATAAATATTGATTCATTTAATGGAAAAGAGACCACAGATTCATTTTCCAAATGAAGGAGAAGGGTTAGGTGCTGATGGGAAAATGCTCTACTGTTTTAAGAAATATAATTTATCCGTTAGATGTTTGGGGGAATACTTCAGTTTCTTCCCCGGCCCCACTGCTTGCTCCCTGTTTGGGTCTGTGTGCTTCAAGAAGTGCAACAAATGCTAGAAAGGTAGGTAATGAGCCCAAGGAAGATAACAGCCTTGAAAGCCAAAAAATTCCACGATCCAGGGATCTGCAATTAAATACGTTTTTTAAAGATTTTTAATGTTTTTAACATTGACAGGTTTAAAAACCCAAATCTTTGGATCTGAATGGCCCTCTGAGAGCTGTAACAGAGCTATAGCACATGTCCTCAAGGAGTTCAAAAGCGAATGCAATAGTGAAAAACGACAGAAGGAACTGACGTACTGATGAGGTTCCCCCGGTCGTCTTTAAGAGGGGCTCCCCCTCCTCCTCTGCCCCAGGGGTCATAGGCCTTCATCTCTGCTTCCAGCTTGGATTCATAGCGCTCTTTCTCTTCTTTCTCTCTCCTCTTGCGTTCCTGCTGCTCTTGGATCTGCAGTATAGATAGCTTCATAATGTCCTGCACTTCTTAAAAATGTCCTCCAGCTGTTTTTACAGGGCTAGTAAAGAAGGTTATACCAAAAAGGACCACAGACGACAGCAGGACCTGTTTCTATTTAAGGTTATGAGCTCTTGTATTTACATATTATATGCTACATAACTAATCTTAATCAGACATTTGAAGCTGGAAATCAAAATCTTTGACACATTTACTTTTTTAAAGTGTGTTATCTTCTGCAATCAGTGCTCAGAAACTTTTCTTTAAATACTTTTCTTTAAGCATAAAACTGCAAAATGCAGAACAGACAACAGAACAAGACTGCATTTACTAATCACTTATTAACATCTTTTAAAGGCAGATCAATTAAGGACTATGGACAATTTATACAAAGAAAGCAACCAAATATCACATCCTATTTGCAAGTGCACTCATTTACTGAAAGGACTACTCTTGCTTAGTCTGTTAAATTTTGCACATCTGGCATAATTTACATTGAATCCGGAAGCTAGCAAATTAACACGAATACCTCAACACTAGTACCAATTACTTTCAATACAGAGGCAAGGTATTTGAATGTGCAACAAAACCTTTATTTAAGGAAGTTAAGGAGTTTTAATGTAGAAAGCACAGTGTTGACACTTTGTAAGTTTTATTTAAAGCATTCGACCCTTTTGCACTCAGAGCTGGTGAAGTGTCTTGTCCATGCAGAACAAAAATAAGTTGAACAAAGTGATCAGGACTGGTGGCAAGATTACTGGCACATCCTTGGACTCAGTAACATGTCTAACGAAGCAACATATTAATCTTGCACGTAAAATCTTAGATGACCTCTCTCAGCTACACATTTTAGAATATACTCTCCTATGCTCTGCAAGGAGGTACCAGATCCTCTGTATAAACACAAAGAAAGCATTTACTTAAGCTACACCTAAAAGCATTAAATTGTCAAACAATGAAAAAATTATTTAAAGGTTGTTGTTGTACTCTTTACATTCTAATTGTCTGTTCTTTAATCTTATGGTACTGGAAGAGTACTGATTGAGCAATGTTGTTAAATGTTGTCTTGCATTAAGTATTGTATTGTTGTTGTATTTTATCATTGTCATATATGTTATACCTCTATGAGCTCTTGATGGACAAGCAATTCCCTTAGGGTTAATAAAGGTTAATTCAATTCAAGTTAATTATATTATCTGCATGAAGATAAAGAGATATTTATGTTAAATCAAGGACGTGACTACTTAGTTAAGACACCAGGATCTTGAAGTAAGCAGGAGTATTAATTCCTGACTAAATTACACTCTCGGTTTGCACAATTTGTCCTGCTTAACGTTCCCCTATTCATTCAAACTGTCAAAGTGATTTCTCACTTCACCTGATCTGCTGGCTATTCGTAAATATTGGCTGAAAAGCCCTCAAATCAATGTAAGGAGCTTACAAATGTATTTGTCTGATGCCCTACCTGTTGTTTCAGAGCCTCCTGGTAACTTAACATGCTGTCTTTCGGCTGCCTGGGCTTCTCCACTGGAAAAATGCCAATTCCAGATGTAGATTTACCTTGCCCTGTTAGTCTGGATTTAAAAAGAATGTAGTTTTTTATTTCAAGACCACTAATCCAAAGGCAAACAATAAAAGGTTTTCACAGCAATGGTATTTAGAGAAGAATTAAACAATCATGGTTATGTTTACGTACTTTTCACATAAAATTTTAGCTGCATGTAAAATTATGTAGTCAATAAACAACCCACCAAAAATAAGCTAACCATCAACTCCATACCAAAATGACACCATGGTTCAAGTGAAAGTAGTTGTGCAAAGCTGAAGTTATACTTCAGTAAAATTCAAGTGCATCTGTGAATAAGAGTGAGGCCCATTTACTCAAACCCCTTTTCCACTTCACTAGATACAAACTACACCTAAACAGCAGGAATCTTCAGAGACCTGAGACTTCTGACCCACATATAAAACAGTGATAAAATATGAACTTGCTCTTAAAGTACATTTGTGTTTCTGTGGGGTTTTTTTGTACAAGTGCACAGAATGTTACAGCCAGCATGCACTCAGTGTAGGAAGTAGAAGAAAAATGGATGGATTCCAACAATGCTCCTATGTCAAGAACTGAAATGTAGCAGTAATGGTGACTCAGTCTAGCTTGGCTGATGCACTGTATCCCCAAGGAGTGAGACCTGATCTCAACTGATCTCATAATACTTCTACAAGAGATTTGACAGTGTCTGTCTGAACTTGAAGGAAAATGCTGCCCCCTGCTGGTCACAAGGGAAAACATCTCATCCTACAGACAAAGCACAGCAGCATAAATACAGGTATTAAACATATCAAATTAATAGAGGTCAAGAAGAATGAGAAATGGAAGGACTGTCTTGTCTTTAAGCTTCAGGAGTTACCATTATTTCAACGGACCTCGCAAAGGATACACGCTAATGTCAGTAGTGGCATGACTGTATTTACATAGGAAAAGCAAGAATATTAAACCTAAATAAAAAATGCTGTCAGCTGCACAAAATCTGATACGATTTACACCTAACAGGCACTCAAGAATGGCTCCAGAATAATGGCACTTTCTCAAACACAGGGAGAGCTCTCTGGTCCCAAGTTACAGAATGTCCCTGTGCCGACTGTGACCAGAATTCCCAAAGCAGTGACACGCAAGTGTCTGAGCACTGTCTGAGCACTGTCGAGGGTAGGGATTAGTCAGTCAGGGCCTCTACACGGCAATCAGTTCAAAGCAGTCCCTGCAGCTTTCTGGTCACTTACATGAGCACGTAGGACATCAATGAGAAATGCTCCTCTCAGAACACCAATAAAGGTTCCCTACTAATCCTCCAGTACTGGCATGAGGTGTCTGTGATGTGTTAAAACACAAGTGGCTTAAGGGTGGGCGAATCAGAGGAGTCCGTCTACACTCCCTCATTGCGCAGAGTGGAGTCGCAGGGATTGGAGCCGGGAATCCAGATCGGACGGATATAACAAAAATAACTGGCATTTCTATTTTTTTATAATCTCAGGAAAACAAAATTATAAAATGTCATCTGCTAAAAAGACAATGAACTCTGGCCTCCTCGAAGAGCAACACTTACTGTGTTCCAGTCCCAAGGTGGCTTTGTGGGTTCAGCAGTTGCACCCCAGAATGAGGGTTCACTACAGGTATAGGCTGGACACCCAATGCCCCAGGTCCATCTGTAAGTTTCAACACAGGAAAGCATTAGAAATATACAGTCCCTCCTCAACAACACTGATGATTTACAGACCGTAGTACTGCTTCTGTTCTCACTGAAAGCCTTGACCTACAAATAGTCCACCCATATACCTTTTTTTGAAGATGGGGCTGGACATTTTCAAGTGCACTCAGCGAACAGAGAATCTGGAACCAAAATAAGATACAATACTTTCTTTGATTTTGAAACCTAAATTAAATTCAAGCAGAAACAGGTGCACTGAAGACTTCATTTTCACAGATTCATCTGGCTTCTTACAGAGAGTCCATTTACCATGCCGCCTTGGTCATAGAGATAAGAAGAGCTATTATGTGTTGATAATTTTTTATTGTTTATGTACACTGCTCTCATCCAGACAGAACAGACAAATGGAAAATCTTTTTTCCAATTTTTCAGCATTGGTCTGAAATAAATATATATGAATATATAGCTCAGATTTATGTATAATTATCAAAGTGGAAACAGAACAGATACCTAATGAATTCTGGTGTCTGAAGCATCCTAGTCAACTTCATTTGTAAACCTTTCTGTTAATATATATATATATTTCTTTCTGCATATATAACCACGTCTGTATACATCAAACATACAGACTTTAAATGATAGCAGGCATGGAGAACCTGTCAGTCTTTACTGTGCACATAAACATAAAATCATTAATAAAGCCAAAAGCCTTAAAGTTAAAAGAAATATGCTCTCAATAAAATTAAGTACCCTCTCATTTAACAAAGCACTAGTTAGAAAACAAGGTCTAGAGAATGAATTTTACATGAATTTTAACTGAGTTTCAAGTCAGTAGGACAAGTATTCACTACTGCTTAGACAAACTGAAAAGACCCCACTTATTATAGGGAATCTGAACTATTTCAAAGGGTGAAAACGTGCTTACAATATGCCAGGCTGGGGTCCAGTGGGTTCCTAGCTCCATAGTAGTAATAGGCCTCATCATAAGGCGTTCTGTAAGTGTCCGTCAGTGTGGGGGGAGGAGGAGGAGGGACGCTTGCAATTCTGTAAAGCAAATTGATCAAGTCAGTCAGGTGAGAATCTGGTGTCACTGACAGCGATCTGACAATATACACTAATAGTCATGAGTGAAAAATGGATGCAACCTGGGTGCAACTATTTCTCCAAGAGTGCTGGGGATCCCTCTGTGAAAGTCTTCACTGAGAGGAGCAGCTGCACTGCCCTGCAGCCCGGCAGCCCCCACGCCACCTCCTCCAGCAGACAGAGCCCCCAGGGCGGCGCTGTAGTCTAAGATGGGGGACTGGAAAGCGACCCGCGGCCTCTCAGGAGGGGCCCTCTCTTCGGGGTCAGGGGGGGCCTTTTCCTCACGAGGCCTCCGGCTCGTGTCAAGGCTGAATCCGTTCAGGCCCTGCCCTGGACGATAGGGGACGTCTCTCCTCTTGCTGTCGTAGTCTCGGCTCACAGCCCCAAACTGCTTGATTCGATCCGGCTGGGGGGACGAATGTTATGACTGTCATTATTTGAAGGGGGTTATGAAGGGAAACTTGGTTAACAAGGGTTCTGACCTCAGTTTCGAAGTTCACTGAACAGAGGCGAAAGACTACCCGGCCTACCGGGACACCCTCTAGAACTATTGCTCTCATCTTCATTTATAATGTAATTAATGATGGCTGCAGCAGAGTCCATTCTCAAGATTACAAAAAGAAACTGCTTCCATACTGATTAGGTGGAATGTAAACATGCAGCATTTCCATGACCCAAAACAAACGGCCAATAATAATTCTTAGGGTAAGTCACTGTCCAGATTTAAATCCAACTGAGCATGCATTTCCCATGCAGAATAAAAAAAAAATGAAGTCAGAACACCCCAGGAATAAGGAACTACTCAAAGTGGCTGCAGGAAAGCACCTCAAATGATTATACAAACATTTGATGAGCTCAATGGGTCAAATTGCTTCAAATGGACTACTGCTTAAGAGGGATAGGCAATTAAATACTGACTTTAAACTTTTAGTTATGGACACTTAAACTTACTGGAATTAATACAAAGAATATGATTGTTCTAATACAATCAGATGAATGAATGTAATTACCATTCATACTAATCTCATGACCACAAACGTAAAATTGCTCAGTCAAAATGTGTTTTGACTTTGCAGTCCCAGCACTTTGGAGAACACTGTCCTTCAGGTATTGTAACCTGTGGTGTACAGTCCGTTCACAGTTATTGTTAAGTGTTCATAAGATCTCGCATTTGTTGGCCTATAGTATTCTTAATGATCACAATAATATCACATATTCTGACAGTATAACAAGGCTGATTTTCATTCCAAGCCTGATGAATAACCTACTGTATTTTAATCAATTCTATATAACAATAATAATTAAAATCACAGCAAATGTGCATTTAATTCTCATGCTA